AAATAGAGCATTGGCTCTGTTGGATAGTGGTTAAGTGGCATGTATAAGGAACTGGATTTTATATGACCCATGGTGGTACAAATTCTGACCAACAACCCTGTAAAATATGCTGACCATATTTGTTTTTATGACCCAAATTCTGATGGATTGGAGAGATGGAGGTAAAAGGATTATAGTGTGACTACACTCTATTTGAAAGTGCTTTTCCTTTTCCCCTACCCACTTTTCTCTTTTTCTCTGGTGCACAAATGTGCCCTGTCACAGTGAAACAGTTTAAAAGTTGGAGAGGAAAGAAATGAAAACAGCATGTTTTGTGAAAATAGCAAAGTAAAGATAATTGAAGATACTCTCTGTAACAACTGCAAGAATACTGGTGAAAAGATCAGAGTATACTTTTTCAGGATTTAGAAAGCTAACTAAAGACTTGTACCACTATAGGGAATATTTAGTAGTTTTGTACTCTTTTAATTTGCCTTGGTTACCTCCAGCCCTATGTTAGCCTTAAAAACTGGGATCAGCAGTGGTGTGCTGGCTAAGGACACTGGACTCTCACATGGCAAACATAGTTTTAAGTTCCAGGTCTGACGGTTTTCTTTCTCATTCCACCTCCCCCCACTCTGTCCTTCTCTGGTCAAAATAAAATAAAGTTAAATAAAATTAGAAAAAGAAATAAAAACTAACGTCTAATAAACATGGTAGAACCTTGCAATCCAACAGCTATTGGAGGAGGCAGAAAGCCTCCTTTTCCTGACAACCAGTATGATTTGACCTGTTGGTATTTTGGCAATGGACTCCCATATGGCCAACCACAGTTTGAGTCTTGGACCTGGCAGCTTGTTTTCTCACTTGCATTCTCTCTCTCTCACTCTATCCTTCTCTGGTTAAAAGTAAATAAATTAAAACATAAGGTTAAATAAAAATTATTCTTTAAAAGTAAGGAAAACTGTGTGTTTCCCATCTCTGAACTGACCTAATGTAAAATTATGTGTTAAAAATGTCAAAGACAGTTCAGAACTTCACTTTTATCCAGGCAGTGAATAGGCCAAACAGTATGTATACTGAGATTTAAAAGAAGCAATGGTAGGATGGCAGTCAAAGTGACTTTAGAAAGCTGAAACATTCCTAAGAATCTTGAAGAGCTCAGGACTGCCACCATGCTAAAGAGTTATAAGGCCCTTACCCTTAAATCTAGCTTATCTTGAAGGCCTGCACCTGCAAGGAATTAGTGTGAATTATAAACTGTGTAGCTCAATGTGGAAAGTGTGTTTTACAGCCCAGTGAGGGTTTGGGAGAATCTTTGGTTCTAAATGTTTGTACAGATCTGTCATGATCTGGCCACTTATATAAGTAAGAAGAAACTTTGGGACCAGCAGTTAGTGTAATGGCTATGTCACTGAACTCCCATGTAGTTGACCGTGGATCGAGTCTTGGACCTGGTGACTTAAACTCACTCCAGGAGCGTGTGCGTGTGTGCCCAAGATCCCTAGACGAGAATGAAGGAGAAGGGATTGCGGCATGGCCATCTCCCCTGGGAGGTGATTTCTGTCTCTGTCTGTCTGGCAAGCGCATGTGCCCTATAGCAAAAACCTCTCAAAAAAAGAAGAAACTTTAAAGGCTAATGAAGACAGACTAAACCTTCCCCAGACAGAGCTTCTGCTCTTTCTGCTTGGTCTTGGTCTTCTACTTTACCAATAGTAGGGTCTGGAGGAGAGGAAACATTCCTTCAGTGTCCTTCTGCAGTGTTGACCATTGATTCAACTCTGAAAACTTAAATTGTATTCGATGGTAAGTTTTCATTAGTCTGTGTCTACTGTTATGCTAAAGTAAAATAAATGACCATAAGTCAGTAAAAGGTTACATCATTTACATTTTGTACATTATTTGAGGATTATATTTCTGTATTTGTTACCTTCTAGAGGTTTTCTTTTTAAAAATTTTTATTTAGACCTGCAGTTGGCGAAATAGTTGTCGCTGGACTCCAATGTAGTCGACTGCAGTTCAAGTCCCAGACTCAGTGGCATAAACTCATGCTGGGCGTCTGTGCATGTGTGCCCAAGATCCTGACAGGAGAATGGAGAAGAAGGGATTGTGGCATGGCCGTCCCCCTTGGAGAACCAGTATGATTTGGCCTGTTGGTATTTTGGCAATGGACTCCCATATGGCCAATCGCATAATTTCTTGCTTTCTGTCTGTCTGTCTCTGTCTTTCTGGCGAGCATACGCGCCCTATAGCAAAAACCACTCCAAATAAAAACCATTATTATTACCTTAAGTTTACGTAGAACATGTGTGCATACCAGAAAAAGAGAGAATGGGAAAGTAAGAAAGCAAACCACCAGGTCTGGAACTCGAACCATAGTCAGCCATGTGAAAGTTCAGCATCCTAACCACCATGCCACCTGCTGGCATCTAGTTTGTTTTCTTTTTTCCTTCTTTAGAGACTTTTGCTGTAGGATTTGTGTACTCTCTGGAGAGATAGAAAGCAAGAAATTATTCCAGGGAGGCGGGTTGAGGTAGCCACACTGCAGTCCTTTCTTCTCCCTTTGGTTCAGATTTTGGGCACAAACACACATGCATCTAGCATGAGTTTTAATTCGTCAGGTCTGGGTCCACTACATGGGAACCCAGCAACATAACCATTTCACTATCTGTTGGTCTCAAGTTTATTAAGATGATATTTTTCTTTTTTTGTTCTACTTCAATTTTTCTGATGCTACTTTTGTAAAATTTAAAATAAATATTTGTTGTATATTTTCCTAGTCTCTACTACTAAAAATCATTTGTGATTCTATACTGAAGGATTTATTTTTGTTTCTTGTTTATAAAAATGTGAAATATGCTGCCTTTATTAAAGATGCTCCAGTATACATTTTGCTGTATTGGCCAGCATGTCCTGGAATTACTAATATATGAATAGCTCAAGTATTTGTATTTGTGTGTGTGTGTGGATATATTATGCATATGTTAATTTTTAAAAAAAACTTTTAATGCATTCTTTTTTGTTTTTTAATTTTTGCTATTGGGATGTGTGCTTGCCAGAGAGACAGAGAAAGAAAATGAGAAATTGTCCCCCCAAGGTGGCTGGCCATACTCCTTGCAGGATTTTGGGCATGCATGCACACATGCCTGGTGTTAGTTTTAAGTCACCAGGTCCAGGACTCAAACCACGGGTGACTATGTGGGAGTCTAGCGACATAACCATTATACCATCTGCTGGTTCTAACATCTGTTTACTTACTTGTCTATTTATTTGCTGTGATTTTCAAGCCACTGTGTTCTGGACCTGAACCATGGTTGGCCATGTGGGAATCCAGCACCTTAACTACCAGAGGACCTTCTGACCTACATGCATTAGTTTCAATTTTAAGTAACGTAATTTACACTGACCATTTATTACACTATACATTTCTGATAATCATATTTTGATTTTTTTAAAGAACTTGGCTGTTTTTTCTGATTTTACTACTAGAAGGATATTTCCAATTGAATACTATTACTGAAAAATGATTTCTATGATCTTAGGATTTCAAATATTAAAGCTGTAATGGAATGCATTGCTATGACATGCTTCACAGATTGAGACTACATGGGAAGCCTGGTTTTATTCTTGGTTCAACATAAATGCTGGGCACAGAGGCCAATGTGTCTGCAGTCCCAGCAATTTTAAAGTCTGAATAGGAGAATCAGTATCTTAAAATATTCTTGTGCTGTATAGCCAAGGCTAACTGTGGTAGTTATAATCCTGGCTGGGCAGGTGAGGCTTTATATGTATTTGTGTGTATGTGTGTGTGTGTGTGTGTGTGTGTGTGTGTGTATGCGTACATGCACACTTAACTGATTCTAATAGAATTAAGACCAAATAGTTTTAGGAATAGTGACATAAAGTAGTGCTGATAAAGCAGAACTCTTAATAGTAATAACACTCTTGGCTGATTTTACTACTAGGACATTATTTTCTGTATTCAAGGGTAGCTGAACTGGCTCCATGACCTAACGGATAAGGAGCTATATCCCACATGGCCAACCAGTAAGTTCAAGTCCCAGCCTCAGTAACTTGGAAGACATTCCACATGTTTATTCATTCATACCGAGTCTGATGGGATGTAGAAATTACCTTTGTTCAGTTTTGGTGGCTACTAATAACTTGGTAAAGTTAATTTTTTTGTTGCTACTTTTGTAAAATTTAAAATAAATATTTGTTGTATATTTTCCTAGTCTCTACTACTAAAAATCATTTGTGATTCTATACTGAAGGATTTATTTTTGTGTCTTGCTGCCTTTATTAAAGATGCTCCAGTATACATTTTGCTGTATTGGCCAGCATGTCCTGGAATTACTAATATATGAATAGCTCAAGTATTTGTATTTGTGTGTGTGTGTGGATATATTATGCATATGTTAATTTTTAAAAAAAACTTTTAATGCATTCTTTTTTGTTTTTTAATTTTTGCTATTGGGATGTGTGCTTGCCAGAGAGACAGAGAAAGAAAATGAGAAATTGTCCCCCCAAGGTGGCTGGCCATACTCCTTGCAGGATTTTGGGCATGCATGCACACATGCCTGGTGTTAGTTTTAAGTCACCAGGTCCAGGACTCAAACCACGGGTGACTATGTGGGAGTCTAGCGACATAACCATTATACCATCTGCTGGTTCTAACATCTGTTTACTTACTTGTCTATTTATTTGCTGTGATTTTCAAGCCACTGTGTTCTGGACCTGAACCATGGTTGGCCATGTGGGAATCCAGCACCTTAACTACCAGAGGACCTTCTGACCTACATGCATTAGTTTCAATTTTAAGTAACGTAATTTACACTGACCATTTATTACACTATACATTTCTGATAATCATATTTTGATTTTTTTAAAGAACTTGGCTGTTTTTTCTGATTTTACTACTAGAAGGATATTTCCAATTGAATACTATTACTGAAAAATGATTTCTATGATCTTAGGATTTCAAATATTAAAGCTGTAATGGAATGCATTGCTATGACATGCTTCACAGATTGAGACTACATGGGAAGCCTGGTTTTATTCTTGGTTCAACATAAATGCTGGGCACAGAGGCCAATGTGTCTGCAGTCCCAGCAATTTTAAAGTCTGAATAGGAGAATCAGTATCTTAAAATATTCTTGTGCTGTATAGCCAAGGCTAACTGTGGTAGTTATAATCCTGGCTGGGCAGGTGAGGCTTTATATGTATTTGTGTGTATGTGTGTGTGTGTGTGTGTGTGTGTGTGTGTGTATGCGTACATGCACACTTAACTGATTCTAATAGAATTAAGACCAAATAGTTTTAGGAATAGTGACATAAAGTAGTGCTGATAAAGCAGAACTCTTAATAGTAATAACACTCTTGGCTGATTTTACTACTAGGACATTATTTTCTGTATTCAAGGGTAGCTGAACTGGCTCCATGACCTAACGGATAAGGAGCTATATCCCACATGGCCAACCAGTAAGTTCAAGTCCCAGCCTCAGTAACTTGGAAGACATTCCACATGTTTATTCATTCATACCGAGTCTGATGGGATGTAGAAATTACCTTTGTTCAGTTTTGGTGGCTACTAATAACTTGGTAAAGTTTTTGTGGCTATTAAGAGTTTTATTTATGTGTGATATTTTACCTGAATATCTTGTCCCAGTTTTTATTCTGTTTGTGTAAGTAATAGCATTTTGTGTGAATTTTGTTTGTGAAAAACGACTTGAAATCTGTAGATTTTTAAGATAAGTACATGTTACTGTTGGTTATGATTATATTTCCTGCATTTTTAGTGGATGATGCTGACAAAATTGAACATAATGGTTCTTCTGAAATGACCATGGATGTAGAATCAGACAATCCTTGTAAAGTGGATGATACTTGCCCTGAAGTTATCAAGGTGTATATTTTTAAAGCTGACCCAGGAGAGGATGACTTAGGTAAGAAGAAGCTGCTACCATTTTATATATTATCTTCCAAATCCTTCAATCTTTTAACCTTTTTTTTTTAAGTACCAACCTAAGGAGATGGCCATAACACTCTCAGGACTTTATGTACTCACACACCCATTAGGTGTGCTAAGCCACAAGGTCTGGGACTCAAATCATACAGTTAGATCCAGCCACCTCAATCACTATGTCACCAGTAGGCCCTAATTTTGAATTACTTTTAAATTTTTAAAAATTAGTGTTTTTTTAAGTTACCGAGAATATAAATTTTAAATCTTTCCAGAGATACTTCTAACACACATTTCTATTAGAAAAGTATCATAATAGTAGAAATAGAAAAAGATTTTAAAAGGTAAAACAGGTGGAAATGAAATCTCAAATACTTGGAACTGTCTTCCTCTCTTGGTAGGTGGAACTGTAGACATTGTAGAGAGTGAGCCTGATAATGACCGGGGAGTTGAAGTTCTTGATCAGAACAATAGTGTTCGTGTTCCCAGGGAAAAGATGGTTTATATGGCTGTCAATGACTCTCAGCAAGAAGATGAAGATTTAAGTAAGTAGGTGGCTTTTCAGTGGGACACAATTTCATGTTTCTATAGAAAGCTTTTCCTAACATTTCCTGAATTTTTTCTAAAATTATCAGTACTCTATGAGATTGTTATGTTGCAATATATTTTTTTAAGAGGATTTTGCCTTAGGGCATGTAAGCTCACTGGAGAAAGATAGTGAGAGGGAAAGTGAAAAATCACCCCCATGAAGATGGCAACGCCACAGTCCCTTCTCTTGTCTTCTCCTGGGTCCTGGGCATGCATGTACACGTACCTGCATGACTTTCAAGCCACTGCATTTGGGAATCAAATTGCGGTTGGCTATTTGGTAATCCAGTGATGTAAGTGCTGTTGCCATCTGCTGACCCTGTGTTGTTAGATTCTAAGAAAGAAACCAGTGAGTGTTTATGTATTCTTAGGTTGTTGCTTCACATACAACTCATCTTGAAAGCTTTGCAATGAATAATTATAATAAACCAATAATTATTTAGTATCTACTACTACATTTTAATACAGTGTATTTGTTGTGATCTTTGTAAACCTGGTCAAAAAGTTACTAATTTGTGCTTAGATGTTGCTGAAATTGCTGATGAAGTTTATATGGAAGTAATTGTAGGAGAAGAGGATGCTGCTGTTGCAGCAGCAGCAGCTGCAGCTGCAGTACATGAACAGCAAATGGATGATAATGAAGTGAAAACTTTCATGCCAATAGCATGGGCAGCAGCCTATGGTAAGTTGCTTAGCAGCTCTAAGCATTGTGTGGTCATTGAACATCAGTTATTATTGAGAAAAAGTTTCTATGGTCTTAAAACCAGTAATTGAAGTATCCAGCATGGTGATTTATGCAAAGAGAAAGACCATGACATCTACTTTTTTATCTTTTAACCTCTTTTTTATTAATAGGCATTTGTTTCATGGCTATATTATATAAGAAGTAAACAGACTTTTCAAGCTCACATTACTTTAGCTTGATTAATATCTGACTCTTCATTTGCCATTTTTTGTAGACAACACAATGTGGTTAAAAGTACTACTTATTTGAAAGTGAGTCATTTCTTAAGGTCTTGCTGTAAACATGTTCATAACATTCATAACCTACGATAGGGAATTTCTGTCATTCATGAGTATCATGGTTTACTTTTCATTGTGTAGTAAATGAAACATCCCTTATTTTTTATAATACTGTATAATTTTGTTTTTTAATGCACATTGTTTGCTAATAATTCTGATGGAATTGAAAACCGGAATGGCACTGCAAGTGCCCTCTTGCACATAGATGAGTCTGCTAGCCTCAGCAGATTGGCTAAACAAAAACCAAAGAAAAGGAGAAGACCTGATTCCAGGCAGTACCAAACAGGTGAGGGCACACGAGTTCCATGGTGCAGCGTGCTCCGTGAGCTCTTAGGTGAAATTTTATTTATCCACAGGGGTGATGAAATGGTTAGCTGTTAGACCACATGTAGCTTTTGTGTATTGAATTTGAAAATACAATTTTGAGAATTCAGTGATATTCATGAATGATTTTCTTGTATTAAAACAAATTGTGGATCAGACATTTAGGAAAAAGAATTAAAATTCAGGTGACTTCAGTGGAAATCAAGAATAATGCCTAAAATGTGTTAAATGACTCTTTAAACAAATTTAAACCATCTAGTATGTCTGCATGAAGCAGGCACAATACTTTCTTTTTTTTAGGTTTTTGTCGGGCTAGTGCATTTGCTGGAGACAGAGAGGGAAAATGAGAAATCACACCCCCCTTACCCCCAAAGGGGAAGTCCATGCTTCAGTCCCATCTCTATTCTCTTCTTAGGATTCTGGGCATGCACGCACATACACTCAGTGTAATTTTCAGGCTGCTGGGCTCTGGAGCCTGAACCCCAGTTGACCATGTGGGAGTTTAGCACCTTATCTACTACAATACTTGCTGGTGTCAAAGAAGGCATAATTTACAGAGGGACAGGATGAGTACTTTGTTTACAGACCTATTTTCTGTATTGTTTTGTATATAGATATGCATATTAAAGTTTAATGGGCATATTAAAGTTTTTCTTATAGCTTCTATAACAGAATAGAATTGACTTAGAATACCTAAAGCAGAAATGTTGAAATTCATTTTTTTTTTTAATTTTAAAATTGGTATAAATTCATGACTAATTTTTAAAAAAAATATGGAGGAAGTGAGATTGGTGTAGTATGTTGAATTAGACCAGATTTCCTTAATTACTGTATTACTATAATGGCTGTGTTGAAAAGCAGGGAAAGAAAATTTTGTGGGTTTTTTTTGTGTATAACTATGCTGGGAGTCAGGAAGTTTTATGCTAGCTCAGATAGAACTCTGGCTAGATGTAGTTAGCATTAATTTTTTCTCCCTTCCCACTGGATTGGCAAATAATGAATCTCTCGTGAATGCTTTTTTAAATTATTATTTTTATTTAATTTTATTCATTATTATTATTATTACTTAATTTGACCAGAGAGAAAGAGAGGGAAAATGAGGAAGCGAGCCACTAGATCCAGTACAAACGTGTGCCATATGAGAGCCTAGTGCCTTAATTATGTCACCTGTCAGCCCCTACAAAAAATGTAAATAACTTATGGGAACCAGCAGTTAGTGTAATGGCTATGTCGCTGGACTCCCATGTGTCGACCGCGGTTCACGTCCCGGACCCGGTGGCTTAAAACTCACGCCGGGCGCGTGTGCATGCGTGCCCAAGATCCCAGGAGGAGAATGGAGGAGAAGGGATTGTAGCGTGACCATCCCCCCTGGGGAGTGATTTCTTGCTTTCTGTCTCTATGTCTCTCTCTGTCTGTCTGGCGAGCACACGCGCCCTACAGTGAAAATCTCTCAAAAAAAAATGTTAATAACTTAATAGTTCTTACTCAGTAATGTTTAGAACACAGCGTTAGTTTTTTGTTCGTTTGTATTTAAGATTTTGTTGTAGCATGTATCTTGTCAGAGAGAGACAGTGAGAGAGAGAAGGTGAAAAATCATTCCTGGGGGATGGCCACTCCAAAGTCCCTTCTCCATTTTTCTCCTGGTATTGAACTTGAACTGTGGTTGGTCTTGTGGGAGTTCAGCACAGTAATAACCACTGTGCATACTGTTGGCCTTCTGTAGTTTTAAGTCTAGAAGAAACCGAAACAGCTTATTTTGATCATTCATGTTCCTTTTTTTTCTCTTTGTAGCAATAATTATTGGTCCTGATGGACATCCTTTGACTGTCTATCCTTGCATGATTTGTGGGAAGAAGTTTAAGTCAAGAGGTTTTTTGAAAAGGCACATGAAAAACCATCCCGAGCACCTTACCAAGAAGAAGTACCACTGTACTGACTGTGATTACACTACTAACAAGAAGATAAGTTTACACAACCACCTAGAGAGTCACAAGCTGACCAGTAAGGCAGAGAAGGCCATTGAATGTGACGAGTGTGGGAAGCATTTCTCTCATGCTGGGGCTTTGTTTACTCACAAAATGGTGCATAAGGAAAAAGGAGCCAACAAAATGCACAAGTGTAAATTCTGTGAATATGAGACAGCTGAACAAGGGTTATTAAATCGCCATCTTTTGGCAGTCCACAGCAAGAACTTTCCTCATATCTGTGTAGAATGTGGTAAAGGTTTTCGTCACCCATCAGAGCTCAAAAAGCACATGAGAATCCATACTGGGGAAAAGCCGTACCAATGCCAGTACTGTGAATATAGGTCTGCAGACTCTTCTAATTTGAAAACTCATGTAAAAACTAAGCATAGTAAAGAGATTCCATTCAAATGTGACATTTGTCTTCTGACTTTCTCGGATACCAAAGAGGTGCAGCAGCATGCTCTTACACACCAAGAAAGCAAAACACATCAGTGTTTGCATTGTGACCACAAGAGTTCAAACTCAAGCGATTTGAAACGACACATAATTTCAGTTCACACAAAGGACTACCCCCATAAATGTGATATGTGCGACAAAGGCTTTCATAGACCTTCAGAACTCAAGAAACACGTGGCTGCCCACAAGGGTAAGAAAATGCACCAGTGTAGACATTGTGACTTTAAGATTGCAGATCCGTTTGTTCTAAGCCGCCATATTCTCTCAGTTCATACAAAAGATCTTCCCTTTAGGTGTAAGAGATGTAGAAAGGGATTTAGGCAACAGAATGAGCTTAAAAAGCATATGAAGACACACAGTGGCAGGAAAGTGTATCAGTGTGAGTATTGTGAGTATAGCACTACAGATGCCTCAGGCTTTAAAAGGCATGTCATTTCCATTCATACAAAAGACTATCCACACCGATGTGAATATTGTAAGAAGGGATTCCGAAGACCTTCAGAAAAAAACCAACACATAATGCGACATCATAAAGAAGTTGGCCTGTCCTAACAATATTTGTTTTGTAACTTTGTAAAGATACTGGCCTGTAACAAAAATTTTATTTTTTAAGTCAGTTTTATTCACAAACTACTTCGTACATTGATTTACGTTGTGTACAAGTATGATTATTGCTTCTTGACTCTTTACCTTTTTTTCAGTAGAGTATTCTGGACCTGATTCAGTTTATTTAATTCATGAGGAGAAATGGCAACAATCAAATTGCTGTTAATAAATCAATCCTTGATTTGATCCTGAATTTTTTATCTTAGAAGTTACACTACTTAAGTATATACTTGATTGTACTCTTCTAAGACAAGTAATTTAATATTGGAAACTCTGAAAGTAATTATTTGACCCTTTTTTCTCACATAAAAATTTCATATTAAATAGGGACATATACTACTATAAATGAGAGACTTTACTTTCAAGTATTCTTTAACACCATGTGGGCATATGGAAATCATTTCTTGTCTTGCGTAGTGTTTTCAGATTATATGACAATGAAAGTATCCACTTATATCTCTAGTTGCTTAATATGGAACATAGACTATGTATTTAATTTTCATTATGCTTAGCAGGGAAGATACTCTTCTTTAGCTTACTTTTCAGTGTTTTACATCTGTTTTTAGCATAGTGAACTTCTAGAAAATCTTACTGAAAAGTTTTTCTCATTCCTTCTTTTTTGCCCTGTCTGTACTGCTTTGTGTTATAATAGATGTTCTACAAATTATATATATTACAGAATGAATTTTGGAATCTTTTGGAGTTAAACTGTGACTCACCAGATTTTTTATAACTCGATGTGTTAAGTGTACCCTAAATTTTATATGTGCTTTTATGTTCTTATTACATATTTATACACACAATTCCAAATTTTAAATTTATAGTGAAGAAATATTTGTAAACTATTGATAGATATTCAGAGACACTAAAATTTGGGTGAAGAATTAGAAGGACCAAGAGGATGCTTGTATGAGTGAAGAAAATATTACTGGTTATTGAAAAGTGGAAGTTAAACTATTTCCAGATTGAATGCTTTTATATAAGTTCAGCTTTTACCTTAAATATTTTTGAAATACTAATTGAGACATAGCCTTCTTACGTCTAAGAATCCTGTGAAGAGAACTTTTTGCTCTCCTAAAGTAAGAGGAAAAAAGATGATGTTATGGGGGCTCCACTTAATAGAATGAATTTATAATGACAGTTTAGTGCAAGTTTAGCCTGCTTTTGTTTTTTTTAGATAGGCAACTTTGAAAAGACATAACACTTAAGTTGGCATTGATTGAAAAATAAACATTACAAGTACATTATACAAATCTGTAGCCTTATTTGGAATAAATATCAACAATTTTTCTGTTTGATTTTTAAGAGCTATTTTTTAAGCAACTAGTGAACCTTATGTGTGGGTATTATATAAAGTAAATTCAAATGGTTAAGTTCAAATTCGGTTAATATGCATTTTGGAGAAGTGGAAGTATATTTTATAATTCTTAGTTTACTTATGTTTACTGGCAGATAAGTAGCTGGCATTCTCTGGGAAATGAGAAGAGTTTTTTCCAACTTGATAGCTGCTTATTTATTGTGCTCCAATCTACTGCTGTCAGGATTTTTTTTTTTTTTTAGTTTCTATTTTTTTGTTTGTTTTTTTTTGCTATAAGGTGCATGCGCTTGCCGGAATGAGAGAGACAGAAAGCAAGAACTCACCCCCCCATCCCCCATGGGTGATGGCCATGCGGCAATCCCTTCTCCTCCATTTTCCTCTCGGGATATTAGGCACGAATGCACGCACTCCTGGCGTGAGTTTAAGCGACCAGGTCCAAGACTCGAACCACTGTTGACTACATGGGAGTCCATTATGCTAAATGCTGGTTCCTCTGCTGTCAGGTTTTTACCTTTGTCTTTCTCTGGGCCATTATTACTCATATTCAGAAGGTATATTTTAAAGAGTTAAAAGTCTAAATATTTGATGTTTGATAACTTCTAAAAACTAAAGCAATTAAGACTTAAAAGTAATTTAGTCACATAGGTATTTAAAACTAAGCCAGCCAAAGTTATAGGATAGATTTTGGAACCTTTTATTTCTTCTTGGCTCCTCTACATGTCCTCCCCTGATTTTAGAGTTAACTATTTTCTTCTTGAAAATTCTTATTTTATGTGTGAAAATCTTAAATTTGACTTTTCTCCTGAAGTAATGTAAAAAGGTATTTGAATAACAATTACAACTTCAAAATTTAAAAATATTCTGTAAAATTAATGCAGATGTTTATTTTTATTTTTAAATAAACTGAAAAATAAAGATCTCAGAATTTTACATACTTCATATTTCCCACAGTTTGAATTTATACATAATTGTTTTGTTTTTAAGCACAATATTTAAGCCTTTAAAAGGTAATTCAGACGTTTTGGTTAATTGAATTAAGACAAAATATATTTGTAAAAGGAAAAAAATGAAATTGTACTTATTGTTATATAGTGCTATTAGTACAAGTTAGCTTTAATTCTTACTTTGCTTAGCAAAGCTAAAAATGGATGTTTTAGTTTAAAGCTTTAAAAAGGTACCCATTCTTAAGAGGACATAAGTTATTGTTTTGTTGATACAGCCTATTAAATATTGTATGTCATTTCTGCTGTACACATTGTAAGATACTTTAAAATGCTTAAAAAATTCATATATAGAAATGTGACACTATTGTAAATGTGTACTTGAAAATAACATGCAAAAAATAAAAATGAGAGTATTTTCTTGTTAATAAGTATTTTCTTGTTCAGTATATTTGATCCCAGAGCTAAATTAATACTTTTTAAGGAAAGTAATGCAGTTTTATTAAGTTTAATAAATATGAAACAATGGACCATTTTTCTTAACCCATTTTTAAAAATTACTTATCGTTGTTATTTTTTTTACTTGCTACAGAGCACATATGCTCACCAGAGAAGAGAAAGCTAGCCACCAAGTCCAGAACTTGACCATGTGGGAGTCAGTGCCTTAACTATCATGCCACCTGCTGACCCTATTAACCCCATTTATTAATGCATTCTTTTTTTTTGGGGGGGGAGGTTTTCGCTATAGGGCACATTCACTCGCCAGACAGACAGAGATATAGAGACAGAAAGCGAGAAATCACCCCCCCAGGGAGAATGGTCACACAGCAATCCCTTCATTCTCCTCTCTGGATCCTGGGCACGCACACACATGCGCCCAGCGTGAGTTTTAAGCCACGGGGCTTAGCCATTACGCTAACCGCTCAGTTCCCTTTAATGCATTCTTTAAATTAGTAGAATTTAGTAAATAGTAAAGGCTAATTTTATTTTTACTTGTTTGTTTCACTTTGGACCAGAAGCTGTATTCACTCCAAAGAAAGGGGGAGATGGGAATCACTGGCACATGACATGGTAGTTAAGGCATTGGACTCCCACGTGGCTAACAGCAGTAGTAGTCCCACCCAATCTGGAGGCTTGTTTTCACACTTTCCCTTTCTCTGCCTCTCTGGTCAAATTTAAAAAATAATAACAGAACCAGCAGGTGATGTGGTGTTAAGACGCTGGACACTCCTACATGGCCAACCATGGTTTTTGAGTCCCAGATCTGGTGATCTGGTGGCTTGCTTTCTCCTCTCTCTCTCTCTCTCTGTCTCTCTTTCTCTCTCTCTCTCTCTCTCTCTGTGTGTGTGTGTGTGTGTGTTTTCTGTTGGGTCAAGTTTAAAAAAAATGAATGAATAAACAGTCATTTGAAAAATAAATAAAAAATGAATAAGTAGTAGATGGTTATGTCACTGAACTCCCAGATAATTGACTACAGTTAGAGTCCTAGATCTAATGGCTTAAAACTCATGCCGGGCATGTGTGCCCAAGATCGTGAGAGAATGGAAGAGACGAGATTGTAGTGTGGCTATCACCCCTGGGGAGTGATTTCCTGATTTTTGTAGAGACAGGCCCTCTATCTCTGTCTCTCTGGAGAGCACATGCCCTATGGCAAAAAGTAATTGGGTGAGGGAGAGAAAGTGCCTTGTGGTGGTGTATGGTCACACTATAATCATGTTTCCTCTAATGCTTTAATTTTGCACCAGCTTTTTTTTTTTTTTTTTAAATTGTAATTCAGCTTTAAAAAAACATGAAATACATCTCAGACTAGTCCAGTTGAGAATTCTATACATGTTATCATCAGTGGGTAATAAACCTTTTCTGTGTCCCACAAATGTCATACCTCTATTTTTTTCTTCTTGATTTCCTTTCCTATACTTTTCCCTTCACACTTTTTCCTGCTCCACATTGTCTCCAGCATCTTTAGCTATTTTTACTGCTTTTATGCCCTCCAATCTTTCAGTGTCTACCATAGAGTGCAATCAGTCAGTATATATTAAGTGGAGACACAGTATCTTTCATGGCCTGACTTGCTTCACCCAGCAATAAATCTTGCACATTTAACCACTTTCAACCAGGGTCTTGTTTTTTATGACTGAATAGTATACTATAGAGTATATGTGCCATACTTTTTCAACCCATTCATGGACATTTGCTTTGGTTCTGTGTTTTAGCACTCATGAATAATGCTGCAATAAACATTAATGTGCATGCACTTTTTCGACAGCATTCTCCTGTCCTGAGTAGATACCCAGAAGTGGGATTCACCCAGCTCTTTTTTTTTCCCAAATTTAGGTGGGGGCCAAAGTTCAAACCATGGTTGGCTTTATAAGGTCTACTCCCTGCGCATAGGACATAATCCTGTTGTGCTTCAGAGTCAGTGCACTAACTGCTTTATTTTATATTTTAGTTTTAGTTTTTGCTATAGGGCATGTCCTTTCCTATGCTAGAAAAAGGGAGAATGAGAGATCACCCTCCCAGGGGGATAGCCACTCCCCAATTCCTCCTTCTCTAGTCTCAAGATTTGGGGCACACAGCTGGCAAGTGGCATGGTGGTGGGGATTCTGAATCCCCACATGGCAGGCCACAGTTCAAGTCCTGGACCTGGTAGCTTGCTTTCTCACTTTCCCTCCCTCCCTCTTTCTCTCTCTCTCTCTCTGCCTCTTTCTAGTCAAGTGAAAGAGTAATAATGATAAAATTAAATAAGCAATTATTAAAAAAAGAAAAGATTTTTAGCACACACCCATATGCACCTATGACAATTTTCCAGCCACGGTCTGGGTGTTGAGCTGCACAGTTAGCCACGTGGGTTTAGCTGCCTTAACCTCCATGCCACCTCCTGACCCCCTGTCTTTTATTTCTGTGACTTAAGTACAAATATTGAAAATCACAATTTTACTAACAATATTTCAGAGTAATTACAAATGGTGAATTCTCTAAACATGTTTTAATTTTTTTCCATTTTATCCTAAAGATTATTTCTTATTATTTTTAATTTGCTGGAGGGCATATTTGCTTGCTGGAGATAGAATCCCCCATGGGAGATGATCACACTGCAATCCCTTCTCCATTTCTCCTCAGAATGTTGGTATCCATGCAGGATTGCACACATACCCACTCAACATTTTTCTCAAACCCCTGGGTTAAGACTCAAACCTCAGTCAGCTAGATAGAATCAAGGTGCCTCTACCATCACCAAAAGATTGGTCTATTAGCATCTTCATTTTAAGGTAAATTTACCTTTTTTTAGAGATATTTTTTACTACATGGTGCATGTACTTACTGGAGAGACTGAGACAGAAATTGAGAAAATCACCCCCCCAGGAAGGAAGGCCACACCACAATCCCTTCACCTCCATTCTCCCTTTGGGATTTTGGACACACATGCACATGTGCTTGGTGTGAGTTTCAAGCCTCCAGATCTGGGACTCAAACCACAGTCAGCCATGTGGTAGTCCAGCAATATAACCGTTATGCCACCTCTTGTCCCCCTCTTTTAAGAGAATTTTTGCAATAAGGCATATGTAGTTGCTGGAAAGAAGGAAAATGAGAAATCATTACCCATGGGATGGCCACACCAATTCCAGCTTATTTTCCTTGGATTTTTGTGCATCTACACACAGGCACTTGGCATGATTTCAAGCTGCCAGGTACAGAACTTAAACTGTGGTCAACCATGTGGACCAGCATCTAGCTGCTGGCCCCTAAAAATGTTCTTTTTGTAAGGTAGCATTTAATGAAAACAAGGAAAGAAATACCAATCTAAAGAACAGTTAATCAGTACTGATTGTTACTGTCATTACAGCAGAAGGGTTTTTTATAAAGACTTTTGCCTTTTTAAATTATTTTTAAAAAGTTTATTTATTTTTACATATTTCCAAACGTTTATTTGATATATCAAGACAATTTTTTGTTTATATTCCATAGTTCTTGACAGTTAATAGACAACTTTTAAAATTTAAAAATACTGAATTTTAAAGATAATATTCAAAATATTTCTTATAGTTTTGTTTAAT